CTTCAGCAGCTGTCAAAAACCTGACCACACCACGCTGTTCCTCTTTTGGAGCGTCCATTATGTCACGCTAACCGTCTTCAACCCAGTGTAAGAGCGCCTTAAAGAACTTTAACCTCACACTTTCCCGCCACTTTCGTAAATGAAGGCTGTCTCTGTGCTACGCGCATGCGCCGCAGATGATGGACCGAACCATTCTTGCTGAGGAGGGGTTGGCTCACTTTCATTTGACTCGCCCTTATATTAACACGCCGATTCCCTTGCTTAAGATGCAGCTACTACTTCTGATTCCAAAGACATGATCTTAAAATTGTTTAAGTCATACCTAAAAACGAAGCACACAAGAAAATAAATCAAACCTGGCAAAATCAATGAAACTCTCTTACTTAAGGCAGGAGGACACATAAACGAATCAAACAATAAACGAGAAAAGATGTCTCAATAACCAACGTTTAAATCAATTCATACCTGGACATAGACACTTCACTTATTACTATGAGAGAAATATTTCTTCCTCAGACAACTGTGTTTGCGACAAAAGAGGATCTCCATAACACTACCTCTAGTCATGCCTATTAACACAAGTACAACGAGTACATCACTGCAATAGACATACTACAAGCGAACTCGAGTTTTGAATATAAATAATAAATTATTCAAAATTTCATCACAAAATCAAAAAACAAAAATCTGAAAGCTTTCAGATTTTATATTACTCCCAAAGGGGCGTTTATCTAACATTTTGTGTGTTACCTTTATTTATTAAATATCCTATTCTTCGCACTTAAACTACATAAAATTCCATTCAACATAAATACCACACAATATTTAAAAACATCATATCTTTAGAATTTCCGATAGACAGTCTCGCGCGCTGGAAATAAAAAGGATTTTTTTCCGTACTGTGTCGCCATTGCTCGCTTTGAAATCGTTGAGTTTGTTAATCAGAAATTCGTTAAAGTTTTACAGAACATAAAATAGGTAATAAAATAAATTCGAAATTCGATATTCGGGAGTCAGGTGCCCACGTTCGGAGGGAGAATTACGTTATTCAAAATTTGATGGCTCTAGGTGCCGTCCTTTTTTTCACAGTGCATGGAAACATAAAAACATTCATGCAGATTCTTCATTATTTAATTTGTTTTAATATAATATGGAGCGATGATATTTGGTGGCAACAATTTAAAGAGTGATTCGGCGTTTATAGTGAAACGCTACAAAATGCCGTTTTGAAACTAACAGTCCTTCTTGGCTAACGCTCCTTTGGGCTAACAATATGGTAAAATAGCTTTAGAAATAAGGGCAAGATATTTGGGTGCAATAACTGTTACGAAATATTCTTTATATCAGTATACAAATGATAACGGTAACAACAGCATGAAAATGAAGCAACACAGCATGAAAATATTTTGGAAAGGTTGCACGGAGCTTCAGTAGGAATTTTCACTAGATTAGTAGCATCACTGTTCAGTCCTGGTGTCGCGCATGCTTATTCCTGTACTGTTATATAAATACAGTGTACTTTTAATCATCTTAGAACTACCTTCAAAACGTGTTAAAATTATCTACAGTATCTATGATCACCGTTCGTATATCACTGGCTGTCCTTTCTGTCCTCGTTGAATGTATGCTATGCATGAGTGCATAGAGTGTTCTTATTAACTTGCGTTATATTTCTAGCCTTAAGGGCGTAACTATCTCCTTGTAAAATACATTTCAAACAGCGTTTTACATTTCTTTCTGTAATCTTAGATATAATCCTAGTGGTGTTTCGTTTTGTTTTAACTGCAAACCAATTTGCAAGGATTATTTGAAGTTCATATCCACAAGAATCTTGAAACCCCCAGTGTTTAATATTCCCAGACATATTTCTAAACTTTTGCTAAATATAAAACGCTGTGTCTCTCTCAGGCCAGGACACAACTTTAATTGGCCCTTTAAGGTACAGACGTTGACCGCCAGCGTAGAAATCAAATCTAACTGCTTCCTGTATATAAAACAAGTCGACTTATGAATATAATTAAAAAATACGAGGCTTTGTTCTCAAAATATGTAGCTAGAACTTCATTGTCTTTATCTACTTAATGCTGAAAATGAAAACATTAAATGACGAATTTTATTTAAGCGTCATATAGCTATTTAAATCCTAAATGTAAAATGTACGTGTACAAAATGTACACTAGTATGTACTTGAAAACCTGTAGGAATTTGATAATTTACCTTTTCTTAAATTGTGTTATTTCCTCAAAGTGTTAATCAGAAGTTTAAGAATACTTTTTTAATATACTTTTATAGTCTGCGTTTTGAATTTAATTCCTTTTTAGGCTTTCTTATATTCTGAGTTGCAATGAATGCATTTAATAATTATAAGCATAATTAATAATAATTTTAATCCTTATACGTTGTCTGTAATGTCGCTTTGTATCTGGTAGTCGATAGAACAGTTTTAAATCAAAAGTAATTTAACTAATTTCTGAGATAAAAACTGTGTCGTTGTGTTAGTAATCACTTTTAAGCAAATTCCATCATTCCAAGATAAAACGTTAACAAAACTTTTTTTTTTTTTTCATTGTTTGAAATATTTTTCAACGCCTAATTTCACTGTAATTGTAGCTGAGATATTCATTTTTAAAGTGTAAGACAAATTGTTGGTACGGATGGCATTAAATCCATGTTATATAATTTACGATGATACAGAATATTTCTCCAGTAATATTTACATAGCACACGTTACAGTAAAAATTGTTAAGTATCTTTTTATTCAGTTTACAAAAGTCGTTGCATTGTTACTTGGTATAAATGTCTTATTCTACTACCATTACACATGCATAAAATAGTACGGCCTAATTTGACGGTACTTTCAACTTCACCATCCCTTTGCCATTTGTAGCAGAAACTGGCTTTTTTCCTGATGAGGTTATTCCGATTATGTTGTGCAATGCAAAAGTAGCAAACTTAATGTACGTAAAAATAAATGCATTAAGTTTCAATTTGTGTAATTGATGCATTAAGTTTAAATTAACTGTATAGTAAAAGTATAAAAAAGTCACAAAAACGTGAGACCTAGTCGGTCTCATATCATATATAATATCAGGAATTTCATAGTATTTTCAAATGTACTTTACGGACTTTGCTAGGTTTTTAACCTCTCTTTATAAATATAATATATATATATATATATATATATATATGCATACAGAAAAATTAAAATAAATATTTAAACTCAATACATATTCATCACAGAGACAGCAGTTGGTATTTGCAAATATAATAAACCGTCATTTTAACACGTGTAATAAACCATTATGAAAACCTAAACGTCTCTAGTATTCAAATTATTAACTGCATACATGCTAAAAATATAAAAATTATAAAGGGGTGCAAAAAAATAAAAATAAAGAATTTATATCTCTTGGTACATAGTCTTTAGAAATTTGGTGTATCGATAACAGCTCACAGCAGATAATTGGATAATGAGGGGAATTGAAAATTCTTTGCTCTTTTTCAAGAAGCAGTGGAAAAATTTTCAACAAAGCCACATTTGTAAATTACATCTGTATGACTGTAAATTCTTGGATTAATTTTAAAAAAATGTGCCAAATAAAAAATTAAATTAATTAAAATATATATAAATAACAAAAGCCTAAATTTACGAGTTAGAAGAAAATATATAAGTATGTAGTACATTTTGTAAATAGATTGGAATGAAATAGATAATTAGAAGACAGTTGTTTAGATATATAAGACGACATTCATAGATAGACTTAAGAAAAAACGTAATTTATTTCCGGACACTTAATTCTTGCGATACATATTCTCAGTCACACATCGTTATGGTTGCGATATGCAACCCGCAATTTTATATAACTTATCAAATCCTTAGACAATGCATGAAACAACGAGACAAGTGATATGCGATGGCAGAGAAAGAGGAAAGCTGGAAAATGATGCCTGTCAGCAACAGCAAGGCGATAAAGAAAAAGGCAGAAAGTAAGTGCGCATTCAAAAAAATAGTCAAAAGGTTATTTAATCTGATTTGATATTAGCTGTCGTATTGCAGCATTATATAAACGAGCATGAAACGGATTAGTTTTGAGAAGAAGCAGCTCAGTTAAGTTATTATAAACAATTTCTAATTTTAGAAACGAAAGGGGAGGTGCACAAATTAAAAGAAGAAATTAAAGGGCTATGACTCATTTAAGTTAAAATTTCGATTTATATATGTTACGTCCAACCCAAACACGCAGATAGATATACATATTATTAGAAAAGTTATATATATATATATATATATATATATATATATTCGTATTATAAATTATTATGAATTATTTGTTTACACACACACACATATATATATACATATGTGTTACCGGCAAAGTTTGTAATCCGGCATTCTATAGAATACCTAGGCATTTCATATAATGCCTAAAACCAACCGGCAATCCATGAAACGATTCATATTTCATACGTTTCCTTAGAATGCCAAATGACAAATCGGCAAAGCATGAAATACGATTTCCGATTCGTTTCGAAGAACAAGACTACTTATCAGAAGTTAACCGAAGTGCAATAAAAGTCGTTCAGTTTTCCTATCTGATAAAAATAACGTATTAAAATGTTATTTCAATTTAAATTCGTCACCAGTATTATTAATCTAATCATACAATTATTAAAGAAGTGTTACAGAGAAGTATCACAGAGTTAATTGTTGTATTACAATTTTCTTTACATGACTCGATCAATTAGAAAGAAGAAGAAACTCACAAAACATTTCAGCAGCTCTTTTCTCAAATATTGCCTCCCTTTGGCAGTGGTTAGTGTCTTGCCTGATCATACAATCAGAACGAAGCTACTATATGTCCATATTAAAAATATATCTAACAGGTCTGTAATATGTACTTGAAAGAAACATTATGTCAAATGTGTTGCATTATGCGTTTTCTAATGAATCTGTATTCTGAATTTCCAAAAATTTTATATTACCACTTTAAATATGAATATTTTGGTGAAACATATTTTTTTATTTCAGTATTATTTTATGGACATTTATTTATTTATATAACACTAAGCATTTAAGAAATTTGTAGAAATTTTGAAATGAAGTGGTTGGGCGGAATCTAACCGCAGCTTCATAGGCGAAAGAAGGGCTGAGAAGGTAAAACTTTTCCGGGTCCTCCAAGAGAACTCAGTAAGTTTCTGTATCCCCAGCTTCACGGCAGAACATCGGCACGAGGAATTCCTTCCGAGCTTTTCCGCAACGCACGCTCGTCCAATCACCATCATCACGACGGCCGTCACGAGGCGACATTGAACTTGAAGAGGAAAGGGAACTCAGTCCTTCTTGAGCAACACCTCGGTGAGGAAGTCTCCTCCAATCGGTCCCGTGTTCCTCCTCAACTCCCAAGGACGAGGCCGCATCGCCAAGGTTCCTTGATCCGTCTGCCTGACTTTGGGTGCTTACCGGCTGATCTACGGGGAAAAAAGGACATCAACAACAAAATATTCTTTCAAAGTTTTTCCCGATCTTCGTACTTTTGTGACGGCGATAAGAAAAAGGGTGAGTCTTGTTTGCGGAAACTCTTATCTAAGGATTTAGGCCGATTTTATTCGTTTAATGAGATACTTAGGATTATATTATGGAACACTCTCGGATTTTTACTAATGCGAAATGGAATGGTATTGCATTCTATTGAAAGTGTAATGGAATTCGTAAATAGACTATTTTTTTATCTTCCATCAAGCTAACTATTTTTATCTTGTATTTACTGTTTCTCTATTTTATTCCACAAGGATTTAGATCGAAAGCAGATAAGGAACAATATCTTATATATTTTATCAGTTTTGTTCCGCAAAAGAATCGAATTCCGAGCCGATAAAATTTAAAGCATTAACTTTTCCTTTTTCATATCAATTTAAAAAATAATAAGCTATGATCCCGTTCATATGAAATTAGAGATACTTCAAATTCACTAAATTCAGAATTCACTAAATTCTTAAAATTAAATTCAATTACTTAAAATTCACTAAATTCAGAAGTTAAATTGTTTCATTTCGAAATATTTTTTTTTTTTTTTTTCTTTTTGCTTCCCTAGATTATAATGAACATTACAAAAAATGTCTAATGATAGTTTTCCGTTCTAAAAGTTACACATTTTACATCATATCCTAAATATCTTTCTTTCGTCCTCGCCGCCACCCCCCCCCCCCCCACACACACAGATACAAATTTTCAAAAATCTAAGATCTAAGATTTTTCAGGAATCATTTGTAAATTTTTATCAAGACTGGCTTCAAAATTGATCTAATATAATTAATATTAATATTTCTTAGAATTAATATTAATAGTCCTTCTGTATTCCTGAAATAAGTATTTCTTAGGATGCATTTAATATGAATACATTCAGCATGAACGGGAAAACGTCGGATTTTAATAAAAACTATTTGGTCATGAACAGGACCTCGAATTTTGGGTGTTCTTTAGAATTTATTCATATATCTACTAATATTAGGTTATGTAAAAATCTTTAACTGTATCTGTAAATTGCTTATATATGAACTGTTCAGTATTTTTTTAACTTTTATAAAATTATCAACAATGAATACTCAAAAACAAGATATTTATTTTGATTTTTTATTATATAAACATTATAATAAAAAATCAAAATAAATATCTTGTTTTCGCGTAATACTAGTTTCAGGTAGAATTAACTGAAATTATAAAATTTTAAGTTTTATTAGTAGAAGCCTAGACATTTTACATTTTTATTGCTCATTATTGTAAAACATTAGCATTTAATTTTGTTTTTCCACAGTTTAAATAGAAGCGAGACACACAACATTTTCTGCTAACGCAACAGCTTACCATACTTTATAATAAATATGTTATAACCTTCTCGATAACAATTTCGTTAACACCCCTCATATATGATAACTAAAGTTTTAATAAACGATATAGAACGTGAATTTAAATGCGATTTACTTTGACAAAAATTAAAATAATGCAACAAACTGTTTCCTTTACATGGAATTTAATAAATATGAGGAAGTATTTCTCACAAAGTGCAAAATTATATTGCAGGACATAATAGTATTTGAATAGTCATCTGAATTTGAATTTAATATGTAAAACATTTTATGTAAATTTTAGGATTTTCCGATTTCATTTCGCAAGTGGTTCTTCATTTTCTGGCAAAGTGTTCCGAGAAATGCTTGCAATGCATTTGGAAGTTATTATTTTATTATGCTGTACATAGCAGTCCGAGTATGCTGTCAATTTATTGCATAATTCGTTTGTTCTCTTGAAATAACGCAGTTTTATCTCAATGTTTATTAAGAATTGAATAATCCTTTAACTATAAGTAAAAATACATTTTTAACGACTTTTCCGTGGAGATTTAAAAATTTCAGGTTTTATTTTTTATTAATTGTTTAAATCGTGGTTTTCGAAATGAAATTTGAAGTTTATGAAATGTTTAAAGGAAAAATTACTTCCGTAAATCAACTCATCTCTTACTTAATTATATACATAACGCAATTCTAATTAAAAACGATGCCGTAATTAAACACAGCTCAGATAAATGTAATATTTAACATCAAATGAGAATACGTTTCCTTATCCTGAACAAGATATTATTTTAATGGCGTACATGAATGCGGTAAATGCGGTAAAATTTAAAAAAAAAATTAATTTCAGTCTTTTTCATAAAATAGGTCTAAATAATAGTGCTTATGATTAGAAAAATTGCCAAAAATGTTTAGGTGGCTGCATTGTAATTTACGAACGAAGATATATTTATAACAATTTTTGATTGACTGAACTTTTCTTATCAATTATTAACTTTTTTTAAAATGAATCTGAACCTATTCAGTATGTCCGATTTCCTGTTTCAAGTATTAAATATTATTTATTTTAACTATTAAATAAAATACGACGATAATAAAAATTTTTACTTTGATATGTCAGTGGATTTAATTATATCATTTCTTTGAAACTAAATTTTATGAATAATTATTGATTCACCTACGCTTTAGTATGTTATTATTAAAATTTAAGTGAATGTTACGATTAATATTACTAATGATCAAATTTTATATTTTAAAATAAAAGTCTATAACTCAGTTTTATCTTATTTTCTGTCGAAAATTTAGAATTTTTGGAATAAAATGTTAATATTTTTTAAACTAACATATATGTACATATTTCTTTAGAATTTAACACGATTTTAAATCTGAGAACGTAAGAGAATAAGATGAATGAGATTATTTGATTCAAGATTAATTATTTAAAAGAGAATAATAACAATAATAGTAATTTTTGTATATATTTAAGCATTTTTCTGATTGCAGTTAACATTCGTTTATAAATTTACATTATTTTAAGCAAAACATCTATGCAAGCTTTATTTTTTTTTTCTTTTACTGTTTTCTTTACCTAACATACTTGTAGAATGCATTAAAAGCTGAAGCATCTGACCTTTATGATATATCAAAATACATTTCTGATTTTATGTATCTCTTTTTCGACTATAGAGGGCGCTTTGGTTGCGGTTTTGTTCCAGGCTTGTTCGCAGTGCACCGCAAAATGAAAGTAGTCACTGAACACTCTTAGCTTGTATAAAGTGTCTCTTCACGCTTTCTCCGTTACGATTCGTTGAGTTCTACAGAGTCACGCTTAGGTAAAATTTAGTTATCATAAGCTTCGTTAACATTCTACACTTTACATCAAGTTTTAGCCACAGTTCATCGCTTTTCAGGTTAGCATTTAACGGAAGTTGTGAGCTTCACAAGGCCTTCCGTTATCAGGCTGACGTGAATTCTATTATGATGTACATGCGCAACAGACGTGTTCAAAATCTTTAAAAGAAAATAAGAACATATCCTTGCGTGAATCGAGATATATAAAAATCTTCTTAAAATTCAGGAGCAGAAAATCCTTAAAATAGTAATTGATAAATTAATTCATCCTAAAAAATTATAGATAAACCTGATATCAGCATTTGCAAATAAACTGATAATTAAAAATTTAAAATTTAAATATAACTGCAGATTGGGAAATATTTTTCGAATATTAGAAATTCCTTGGTTTTTTAACTAAATTATTTTTCTTGTGTTTGACTCACAAATGAAAGTATGCCAATAGTCACACAAAGTCTTAAGCAAATGATGGGTTTTACCCAATGCTTCGTTGATGGAATGTTTCTTTATGTACTTGAATTCTTGCTTTAAATTTTAAACTAGGGCATCACGATGAATGTCTTGAGTTTTGCAAAGAATTGTGTTATAAATATATATAAAATAAATTTGCTAATAAAGGATATTTTCATTGTGTTGATACATTAATTAGTAGGGGTTACAAGCCTCTTACATAATGTATGAGTTTAATAGACTTGCATCTAATGTAAAATAAAAATTTCATTGTGAGCGTCAAGATAAAGTAACAAGACTTTAAAGATGAAGTAATATGGAATTTTGTGATGATGAGTCGAAATCGCTATTTTTCTATCCCTTCTAATCGCTTAATTCCTCCTAATGAAATAAATTCCATCTCGCGTAAGATTCTTAACAAGTTTTCGTCGGGAATCAATATTGTTTCAACGTCAGCTATTTTATTATGTCTGTAAAAAATTGCAGAAGTAAACTTTCATGTTTTTCAAAGAATTTTTTTTTATTCCTTCAGTTTTATGTGTGGGTCTTAAGTTTTAAAATTTTGTTTCAAGCTGAGTAAATATCAGTCATTTCTCCTACAGCAATAAATATAAAAATAACTTAGAAGATGGATATGAACATGAAATAGCTAGACTTAATTATGCAGGGCAAAATAATAATAATTGTATAATGCAGGGCAAACATTCATTCACCACGGACAATGCCATACCTCAGTATGTTTTATTATAATCTTACCGCCTGATGTATTTCTAATTAATATATGTATTTCAATACCTATGTATATAGTTAAAACTAACTGCACAAAATATTAACAAGCTAAAACTGAAAATTTGGGGTACTGATTCCACAGTGTTGTACAAATTCGTAATGTATATCTTTTGCGAATCAGTTGTCCATGCGTAACATTTGGACATTCAGAATACTTAAATTCTGCCTAATGAAGTTTTTTTTCCTTTTCTTCCCCGCGGGCATTTTATTCTAATCAGTTTTTACAAAATCGTATCATTTTTTTCCAAAATAATACGTTTAAACAAAAAGAATTATTTGGTAAAATGTACCCTCATCTTTGCACATTAACTGGATCATTTAACATACTTGCGATCTTTTTTCCAAAAACGTCAGTCACAAATGATTTTTACGCAAGAAACATCTAAGTCTAAAGAATTTTTTAAAAGGGGAAATGCATTTAAATGTTTTAGGTATCTAGAAAAATGAATTCCGTACAGAAAAAAGGGTGATTATGGTTTTGAAATATTAATGACAATTTTGATAAATACTGTGAATTTTTTTAAATACTGTGAAAATAAGTATTTAGCTGTTTCTAGTTACATTTATAATAAATTAAAGTCCACTAATAGTTAGGAAATTATTTTCTCGTCGCTTAATGTTATC